CTTGTTTTTCACCAATTTCTTCAGTGCAGTTTTGACTTCTTCCTTCAATACCATTGGTTCTTAATCATATGCCACCTCCTGAAATGGATGAACATTAACCAATTATTTTTGGTACAGTGACTCTGTGTATTCCTTCCATATTCTTTTGATGTTTCCTGCATCATTCAATATATTGCCCATGGAATCTTTCAGTATTGCAACTCGAGGCTTAAATTTTTTCCTCAGTTTTTTCAGCTTGAGAAATGCCAAGAGTGTTCTTCCCTTTTGGTTTTCTAACTCCAGGTCATAGCACATTTCATTTAATAATTGATTTTGTCTTCTTGAGCTGCTCTTTAAAATCTTCTGTTTAGCTAGTTTATGTTGTCATTTATTCCATTTGCTTTAGCTACTCTCCATTCAAGGGCAAGTTTCAGAGTCTCTTCTGACATCCATTTTGGTCTTCTTTTCCTTTCCTGTCTTTTTAATGACCTCTTGCTTTCTTCATGGATGATTTTCTTGATGTCATCCTACAATTCCTCTGGTTTTCAATCATTGATGTTCAATGCATCAAATCTATTCTTTAGATGGTCTCTAAATTCAGGAGCGATATATTCAAGGTCATATTTTGCCTCTCATGGACTTGTTTTAATTGTCCTCAACTTCAACTTGAACTTGCATATGAGCAATTGATGGTCTGTTCCACAATCAGCCACTAGCCTTGTTTTGGCTGATGATATTGAGTTTTTCCATCCCCTTTTGCTAAAGATGTAGTCCATCTGATTTCTGTGCACTCCATCTGGCAAACTCCACATGTATAGCCTCTACTTGTGTTGTTGAAAAAAAGCTGTTTGCAATGAATAAGTTGGTCTTGCAAAATTCTATCATACAATCTCCAGCATCATTTCTATCACCAAGGCCAAATTTTCCAACTACCAGTGATTCTTCTTTGTTTCCAACTTTTACATTGTAATCACCAGTGATAGTCAGCACATCTTGATTGCATATTCAGTCAACTTCAGACTACAGAAGTTGGTAAAAATCTTTAATATCCTCATCTTTGGCTTTGGTGGTTAGTGCATAAACTTGAATAATAGCTGTATTAACTAGCCTTCCTTGTAGTTGTATGGATATTATCTTATCACTGACAATGTTGTACTTCCGGATAGATCTTGAAAGAATCTTCATAGATTCTTTGTGATGATGAATGCCATGCCATTGCTCTTCACTTTTTCATTATATATATAT